TTGAATATTAAAAAAACTGCACCAAATTTTAAAAAGAGGGTACATTTTGCCTGTTTGTCAGATCCGAAGTACCTGTTTTGGTACATCCGAAGTTCCGGGAACCAGTTCTTTCTTATATGCCATTAAAGGTATGTTGATTTCTTCAGTACAAGACACCATAAAGTGTTGCTTTGACATGCAATTATTGTCACTTTATTTGAACTTAAAGTAAAAGAACTGTGCCTCCTTGAAATTGAGGAATTTAACATAGAAAGCAATGGGGCCATGAATTAGTGGTGTACTTCCTAATCCAATCATGCACTGGTCATAAGTGAAATTTCTCTGCACGTGAAAACATGTTATCTAATTTCAACAATTTATCGTTTGATTAAGTAGGACACTCTGACCCATTGACCAGACTAGAGACATCATAAATTTACAGTATAAATAGCTCACTCTTAATTTAAGTTTTAGTAATAAACAATTAAAACAGAATTATCTTCTCTGCTGTCTTAAATTATTTTATTCAGCTTAATTTTTAATTAGCAAATAAAATTGGTTATATTTCAGATACCTTATGTTACAAAGTTTCCGTCTGTTATATGTCCGTTGTATTTGACTTCATTTTCATGGTTCAGTAACTTCTTGCCAAAAAATAGTTTTTTTTTTGTCAAGTGAAAAAAGAGTAATAGCATAACTTTATTTGGTATATGGGTTCCTTGCAACGTCTTATTTATGGAATGATTTTCAGGTGTACATGACCGACTGGAATATTTTTTATGACCTTGACCTCAATTTCATGGTTCATTGGATAATGTTTAGTTTTTGTGGTTTAGACTATTTCTCAGATATTGTATGTTAAAATGATGTATGGAATGATCGTAAGATGTACATTGTTTCTCAAATATTGTAATCAATAGGTCAAATTTATGGTGTATGGAACGATTTTAAGGTGTACATGTTTGTCTGGCAGGGTTCATATGACCTTGACCTCATTTTCATGGTTCATTGGTCAATGTTAAGATTTTGTGGTTTGATCTGTTTTTCAGGTACTATTAGCGATAGGACCACTATATTTTGGTGTATGGTGTGATTGTCCGTCTGGCATGGTTCATCTTACCGTGACCTCACTTTCATAGAACATTAATAATGTTAAGTTTATAGCAAAACCGTCATATAACAGACTTTCAACATGAATTCAATGATAAGTAAAACAGGCATGTGCACTCTTGGTATCAGTTATTTAATATTCCATTGTACTCTTGCAATAGTAAAATCAAGTCTGTAAAAAAATTTCTACCAATTACAAGGAGAATGCAAAATGGGTCACTAAGACATTCTATTGACATGCATCATGGTATATTCAAGCCTCTTTTAAACCGCCTCGGTGGTCCTGTGGTAGTGTGTTCGCCTCGGTGAAGGAGGTTCTCAGTGTTTGAAGTCTAGTAGAGTCGAATTAGACTTTAAAATTAGTATATATTTCGTCTTCGCTAAGCAAGCTGCATTAAGAAGAAATTTTTACCCATTTCAATGGAAAAAAAAAGGAAAAACTACCAAAAGAAAAACAACAGTATACAAAATACAACATTGAAAACTAAAGACTGAACAACACGAACACCACCAAAACCGGGGATGGTGTCTGGTACTCCTGAAGGGTAGGCAGATACTGCTCCACATGCGACACCCGTAGTGTTACTCCTTTAATTTACGTTGATAATTTATATCAATCTGATTCCTATTGCATTAATTAAAGAATTGAAAAAGAAATCTGAATTTAACAAAAACTCAATGTTGTTTAAGTAGTCTCTGCTCGATTTCCGTGCAAACTTGATCTTTCAGCGGCTTATGTGTACTGTCAGAATAACTGTTGCTAGGCAGTGCAATTTGTTGCTAAGTGTTTAATAATTTGTATATATCTGTTCTGTCTGAAAATATCTATTGAAAGTTAAATTCAAATTTTCATTAAATTTGTGGCTGTAATAAGGGGTCAAAATAGCTATATTAAAATAATTTAAAAAAAAACCACAAGTCTGTTGAATAGGATTATGTCTGTTGCTAAGAAGTGCATTGTCATATCAAGGTACAGAAAATATATAATTAATTTGTAAGCACTTGGAAAGAATTTAAACACATTTTCAGATACAATGCACAAAATCTTGTACTTATTATCAGGTCAATATAACAAAATTGTAATTGTCCCCTTTTGGTGTTGCTTAGCAACCTTTCCTCTGGAATGAAACCATAGAAAACTGACTTAAAAAAAAAAGATATGTAGGCTTCAAATTATACAAAATAAATGGATTCAGAAAAAGCTAATAAACTACTCATCATTCTCATCCGATTATTTCTTTATTAGAAAATAATCTGTACTAAGTAAAAGAATACATGTGTTGCCAAGTACTAACCATTTTATTTCAGATTGTTCGTTTATGACCCTAATGTGTGCTTAGAGTCTTGACTTTTATAACACAAGGTGTTTATTTGAATAAATTGGGAAATCAAATGTTCCTTAAAATATTTCATTGAGAAATTGAGCTCAAAAATGGTTAAAATCTGATTTTTGTATGTAGGGCCACAAATTTACATTTTTGAACGCTTACCCATTTTGCTTTCTTCAAATAGTTGTTTATACCTGTACTATCACGAATACAATAAGGGCAATGTAATTGCTATCTGGATTTTTAGAAAAAAAAAGGCAATTAAATGTTATGTGATTATCCTACTATTTCAAGTTGCCATACCAACGCTTCAAAAATATTAAAATAGCTCAATAATTATATCAAGGCAAGATGTGCTCTTTACGATATACGAGTTGAGAAATTACTTTTTTACAGTATTGATTTCCTGCTTAACTTTGAAAAATGCATATTTTACCACGTTTTGGGTTGGTATAGTGACAAGTATATCAGGAAATGAAATTTGTTGCCATGGAGACCAATGGATTTGAAAAAATATACCACTATCACTAAACACCTCAAAGAATTGGAATGCGAAAATAAAACGATTTTATTATTGTTTGGATTAAGTTTTAGGTGTTTGCTTTTTTATCTATTTTTTTTTTTTAAAAGCCAATAATTCAAACAAACTTTTTTTAAAGCAATTTATTTACGCGACTTTTGTAATTAGAAAAATAACACGAATATAATAAACCTCGTTCTTCTCTATCATGAAAATAAATTGAGAAAATTTAGACTACGCATACCTTCATTGTAACCATATCTATCCTAATTGTACATGTATTATCTTTTAATATTCCAATTTTTCTATCAATGCGTGACAGATGGTCTGCTAAAATAACACTCGAGTTTTCTGAATGCCTTAAATGCGAATATTATGTGGCACATCTACCATAAAATTTTGATGCAAAAAAAAAATGGCCATGTAAATTTGGAATAACATTGATCCAAATACATATTTATCTTTCAATTTCAATTATGAAAATCTATTTGTTACATGTAGCCGAAGTAAACGGCAATATCAAAGGTTCTATGATTTGTCAGAGGTTTCCTACTTTTACAAAATGTTCTTGATTGAATTGTTGGTGTGTCACCTACATAGCTATTTCTTTCTTTCTACATATAATTGTTTATCTATTTAGGAAGTCTTCTTTTAACTAGAATTATTGCGAATTGCTAGAATTTTCAAATAAAAATTAATATAAAGAAGTTCTGTAAATTAATGTAACTGCAACTTATCATTTTTTACAAGAAAATTACGCAGTTCGATAGGGTTTCCTACTTCGGAAAGGACATTTTCAGTGTCTAGAATATTATAGTTTTTACTTCCTTCGTCAATGCACGATGCAGTTGAAGTAACCAAGAAACTGACAAATATTCTTATGTGTAGAAGAGAAATATATGAAATTCAATTTTTCATTATCATATGATGTAATTATCTATTTCTTCGGGTCTATCTTAATATTTATATATAAAGCCTTTTATTTCTCTAAATTTTAATCATGAAATTACAAACAAAATAACAAGAAAAGACGCCGGGAAGAGTTTTGCTCATGCTGGCAATTAAAATTCAAATATCAAAGATTCGCCCCCTAAACCCCCTTAAAGCATGAATCCCGTGTGCATTATATCCAAAAACATTTTTGCATTTTTAAGATTTGCGTTTCTTCAACTTATATTAACTACATATATACAACTTTTTTTATAACATAGAACAGCTAAAAAGCTATTTTTTTGCAGATGGTGGTATTTTGGGCAATTGTATGAGTTGTTCGTTATGATCATAAAATTGAGAATGGAAATGGGAAATTGGCTGTTTACAAATGTTTAGCGAGAAGCGTGATTTTGGCATAATTTGATAATGTCAAAAACTTCCTTAGCACTAAACAAAATGTTATTTGGTTTTATGGTGATTAACATTTGAATCCGTGAAAGGCTAATATTTTGGAGTTTAAGTCTGGAAAAGGGCGCTACTAATTTAAAAAAAATACGACACTAATTTTTTAAAAAAATACGCCACTAATATTTCAAAGTGCGTTTGAATAGTGACTATTAACCTCTGTTCTAGAAGTTTTTCATATATTCTAGTATTCCTAGGAATTTTCAGTATACCAAGGACGTATGTTAGTTACACGTACTTTAATAAGTATACGGATACACATTGCAAGAAAACAAAGAAATAGTGATGTCAACGTTAAATGCGTTAAACATGTAAAACACAAAGACAGGAAAAAAAATTGAAAAACATTGATTAACAAAATTTTTATCTGCTATTAACCTTCTTGTGGTCAGCTATACGATAAACAGTCGTAAATTTGATGGCAATAATAGTGTGTACGTAATTTTACACATCTCCGTGTCCGTATCATGTCGTTAATTAACTTTTTTCCCTATATTTGTACGATTATATACTTGAAAATTTCTGAAAAGTGACCTACACATAAGCTTCTCATATTAACTATAATCATTGCTGTTATTTTATAAAAAAAATAATCATATATCGTCTCATAAGTTTAATAATTATTGCATAAATCTACAGAAACTTGAGACCGGGACCAAGACCAACTTTTAGAAACACCACAGTGGTATTTCCGGAACAATTGTGAATTAGGAATTTCTGTGTGCCAATATTTACCTTCTTTGCAATCGCCGATAAATTTCCATGTTTTATAATGTAAGATTTAAACACCATTGTAGTACAGATTTAAACTTCAATGATAATACCATGGTAATCCGGTGTAAAAAAGTAAAATTACGAAAATACCGAACTCCAAGGAAAATTCAAAACGGAAAGTCCCTTATCAAATGCCAAAATCATAAGCTCAAACACATCAAACAAATGGAAAACAATTGTCATATTCCTGGCCTGGTACAGGCATTTCCTTATGTAGAAAATGGTGGATTAAACCTGGTATTATAGCTAGCTAAACCTCTTAGAAGAGGGCAAAGTTTTCAATATTATAGATTTGTACTGTTGTAGACCTGGAGATTTAAAGGTAGTCTAACCAGTTGAGTTATGGAAGATCTTCTTTGGCTCGATTGTTTAGAGCGCTGCCTTTAGATCCACAGATTGAGGGTTTGAATCCCGCTGGTACCTAACCATCCATGGATTTTCACAACAGTACGATCAAAACAGATCCATGTCAACTGTAGCAGCAGAACCATAGCAGTTAGGTCCTTTTGATATAAATGACAACTTGTGAAAAAATATCAAAAGGACATAAGAGCTGCAGTTCCGCAGCTATGTCAACAGTCAGAGCTCAGACATGATTGCTTTTGACCTGAAACTTTGAAACTTTTTATTTCACTAAAGGCCTCACATGAGGCATGATAGTACAAACAATACAATATAACAAATATAGCCTAATGCATGAACAAAATTAAACATACATGTATATACAAATGTACAGAATTATCCAGGAAGGTAAATATCACTTAAATATTGACATTACAATTTTACAGAATTTAGACAATCCAACAAGAGTGAATTTATCATTACTATTCATTAGTTCATAGAAACTATCAACATTTTTAACTTTACATATCTCTGCAGGTAAAAACTTTTGTCTCTCAACATTGAAAAAGTTGCAGTTAAATATATAGTGAAATTCATCACCCAATTCTTCTTTATTACATAAATCACAAACTCTTTCTGACCTATCTATACTAAAAAATCTACCACATTCAATGGGTGATCTATGGAATGTATCTCCCTCATGCAAAGCTCTGATTCCTTGCCCAGCTTTGGCTATACTTTTTGTCCTTTTTGGTTTATTGCTCTTCATGTTTTTAATAAGCTTTAGATTTTCAAATATTTTGGCCTCGAGCATCACTGAAGAGACATTGATTGTCGAAATGCGCATCTGGTGCAGAAAAATTGGTACCGTTTATGTTATTACTACCACTGGGTCGATGCCTCTGCTGGTGGACTGATAGTCCCCGAGGGTATCACCAGCCCAGTAGCCAGTACTTCGGTACTGGCATGAAAATACGGATTTTGTGTTATTAAAATTTGCTGTTACAACATGTACAAAATTTTGGGAATTATTTAAAATTAAGGAATGTATCTCCCTCATGCAAAGCTCTGATTCCTTGGCCAGCTTTGGCTATACTTTTTGTCCTTTTTGGTTTATTGCATTAATTGCTCTTCATGTTTGTAATAAGCTTTAGATTTTCAAATATTTTGGCCTCGAGCATCACTGAAGAGACATTGATTGTTGAAATGCGCATCTGGTGCAGAAAAATTGGTACTGTTTATGTTATTACTATGACTACCACATCTAAATTTACATAAGTTGTGTCTTAAATCAAAAGGTAATACAGTTAAATAATTTTCCATGCCAAATTCAGCCTTATACATTCTGTAATTTAAACATTTAGATGAATTGAATATTTTAGTCTTCCAATCATTTACAAATAAATCATGATAATACTGTTTCACATTCTTATTAGATAAATTACAATACTTTCCAACAAATTGATTATTCCAAGCATCAACATTACCACATTCAATTAAAATATCTTTTACATAATTTAACCATTTAGAATGATAAACATCACCACAGTCGAGTCTATGCAATATTTCGTACAGTGTATATGAAATTTTCTCTTTTTTACGTGTAACAATACGTTCCAAAAAACCAATCATTCTTGCTTTAATTCGACCAGACATAGGTACTCTACCAAGTTCACCATATACAATGCAATTAGGTGTACATTTTTTAACTTTCATAATATATTTACAAAATTCTAAATGCAGAGATTCAACAATATCATTGTTTTCATACCCCCAAACCTCAGCACCATATAACAAATTAGGTGCAACCATAGCATCAAACAAATTACAATTGTAGTAAAATATCTATTGGTAAGCACAATTTTCTTGCTTTATGCAATACAAAAAACATAGCTTTTCTGGCTTGTTGTACCAGTCTGGATTTATTACTATGAAAAGTACCCTTTCTAGAAAATATTATGCCAAGATATTGGAATTCGTCGATAACAGATAAACGTTCATTATTGTATATAAAATGAGCATTTTCAGCCTGTCTACTCTTAGAAAATATAACAATATTCGTTTTGGCTGTATTAACTTTTAAGTTTCCATGTTTCACAGTATAAATACATTGCATTCAAGGCAGACTGCAATTCAGCAGCAAATTCAGCAAAAATTACAGTGTCGTCAGCATATAACAACAAATACAATTTGAAATACCTTCTACCAATGGTTTTCAAATTATAATATTTTGTTACTCAGATGACAAAATGGAGGTCAAGTTCAATATTGACAATTTTCGCTTTTACCCTTCAGGAGTTAGGGTCATTGATCTATTGGAAAATGGCACTTTATGTCATTTCCATGCAATTACTCATGAAACATTCAACCAATGGTCTTGAAATTTTAATAGGGTTTTACTGAATGAAAAATGGTGATCAAGTTTGATATTTAAGATTTTCAATTTTGCTATTCAGGAGCCGTGGTCCTTGATACTGATAGATTTAAAATTTTCACTTTATATCGTATCTGTGCAAATATGTATGAACCGTTCAGCCAATAAAATGTCAATATGCTGTTACTGATCACAAAATGGTGGTCAAGTTTGATATTAACAATTTTCATTTTTTGCCATTCAGGAGTTATGGTCCTTGATAGATTGAAATGGTAAAAAAAGCCTGAAATCGCCTTTCAATATACAGAAAAAACAGTTTCCTGTCAATTTGACAGCTCATTCTTTGTTGCCTGTTATCTTGAAAATTATTATAGATTTACAGAAACTATAAATTGCAAAAAATGATCAGCAAGAAAAAATTTACAAATAAGTTTACATGGCTAGAATTGGTCAGTCTACCCCTTATTGATGTTATTTCCTTTCAATGATAATTTTTATAAATTTTCTGCATTTTTTGCCTATTATGTTGAAAACTATAAAAGACAGGTTGAAAGTTTTAAAAGCAAAAATGATCAGCAAGACATGACCTATATATTTTATAGATATTTCAAGGAGGGGCAGACTAGAATTTTTAAATTGAGGATTTTTTTCTTCATTTTTTCCAGAAAAATTTATGAAAGAGGGTACAAGTTTTGTGTAATCAATTTCTCTTACAGCTTTCAACCTAGATCCCTGAAACTTCACAGGAAGATTGCACGTATGTTGAAGTTGTGCAGCTGCTATTATGGAAAGGTCTGAGGATTTTTTCTCATTTTTCCAGAAGTGGGAACTTAGTCATTTTTTAGCAAAAAATCCTTTTTTTTTTCTTAACAGAAACAAGTTTTTTTCATGGCCAATCACTAACATAATTATTTTTTTCAGCATTTATTACAAACATTTTTTTTCTCACTTTTATATTTTTATGTTGTTTTAAAAAATTATTTTACTTGAATTTATACGTGTTTACTTTATTTGATACATGTACACGTACATGTACATATCAAGCCAAGTCAGTTTATATCTTGTTTCTCGCCTGACTATTTAAAAGGCCAGAAGCTTTGTCCATCAAATATAGTTATAAGAAGATGTGGTATGAGTGCCAATGAAACAACTCTCCATCCAAGTCAAAATTTATAAAAGTAAACCAATATAGGTCAAAGTACGGTCTTCAACACGGAGCCTTGGCTCACACTGAACAGCAAGCTATAAAGGGCCCAAAAATTACTAGTGTAAAACCATTCAAACAGGAAAACCAACGGTCTAATCTATATAAAAAACGAGAAACACTTATGAACCACATCAACTGAACATCAGATTCCTGATATGCCTTCTTTAATAGATCAGGTAGACAAGCTGTCTATTTAAAGTAATAGGGCAATGGCAAGAAGACATCACCAAATCACCCAAATGCAATGTGCATAAATACCAGAGCTTACGACATGGTCTCCAACTGAGCAGGAACTACCCACCAACAAACAGTCAGCTCTGGATAGCCCCAAACACAATAATTGAATGAGAGCAATCAAATCCAAGGACACAGCAAACTGTTAAAATATCTAATTAAAACTGAAAGGTTCAATACGACACATCAGTAACAAACTCATAATTTTACTCTAAAATAGATATGATCTAAGCTTAAGCATGCTAAGGGAGCCAGGACTGGTCATTTTCTTTCATTGGGGGGCCCTGGGAGGAAATATTGGAAATTTTATGCCCCACCTACGATAGTAGAAGGGGCATAATGTTTTCTGGTCTGCGTCCGTTCGTCAGTCTGTCCCGTGTCAGGTTAAAGTTGTTGGTCAAGGTAGTTTTTGATGAAGTTGAAGTCCAATCAACTTGAAACTTAGTACACATGTTCCCTATATGATATGATCTTTCTAATTTTAATGCCAAATTAGAGTTTTGACCCCAATTTCAGTCCACTGAACATAGAAAATTATAGTGCGAGTGGGGCATCCATGTACTATGGACACATTCATGTTCATATTTTTTTCAAGACCCCCCCCCCCCAAAAAAAAAAAGACATCCACCCCAACATTTCTCAACTTGTGTTCTTTATAACAAAAAATACATGTATACAATTTCTTTTACAGGATATATTATTATTGATAAATAAGATATTGCAATAGTAGTGAATCTAGAGCTTCAAGTGGCTGATGTTGTTTCTTGACTTCACGGAACTTTATTTGGATATGCCTGTTATGGTCTCATTGCCATTTACAACATGTTGATTCAATTTCAGCAC